TTTGTAAAGCTGGAGGAGGTAATCAATATGAGCAGCAGACAGTACGGGGTGAGATCGGTGTGAGGAGGCATAAGACACGGCGAAAATTCGGTAGACGAGCGTTAAGGGAGCTAATAGCGAATGTCGTTTTTGGACGAAATTTTGGACAAGTTTGCATGTCGTTCGGCGCGGCGCGAGTGCGGCGAGGGCCACCTTACGCCTACAATCATTTTTCGCCGACAGCCCTTGGCATGAGGAAGCAGCATTTTGAATGCTCACAGTCTCCAAATATTACCATACAGTATGTTGTTACTTTTTCACAGAAAGCGCTAACATTTGAAAATGCAGTCGAGACTCCAAGTCCGGTTGATGTTTGGCTTAGTATAACAATAACTGTTTAATTGTGCAACTTTTCCCTAACTTGACCATCGTCGTATCTTCTATGGTTTCGGAGATCCCGATGAAAGACATCTTTATCTTGGACACAGTGTATATCAGATACAGTAGATCAATGCCCAATGTACCAAAAGTAAATTTTTAGCGTATTTTTGGAAAAAATACGCTATTATATTCGTTATGGATAGCTGGCTGTCCGACTAAGATCTCAGGAATTACAATATAGCTAGAGGCTTCAAATTTTCACTAAAAGCTTTCTAATGTAGTGTAGATAGATGTGCAGGCTCTAGTCTATTTTGAATTAGATTACTTGTGAGATCGATAATTGAAGAAAATAATTTCGATATGGTTTTCGGAGGTGCGATAATTTTACCGTTAGATAGCGCTACCAGTATAACAACTTAATTATTAGCGCATTTTTGAAAAAGAAATACGCGATTATATTCGTTATGGCTGACTGACTGGCTGTCCGGATGAGATCTCAGCAATTACAATTGCTAGAGACTTTAAATTTTCACTAAAAGCTTTCTGTTATAGTGTAGATATGCAGGCTCTAGTCTATTTTGAGTTGGCCCAACGTGTAAACACTGTTGGCATTGACCCAAATTATTTGGACCAACTAGTTGGCCGAACGTGTACAAGGGCCTTTAAATTTAAAAAAAAAACATAGACCAGTACTGAGATCTCAAATCGCCACACGTAACCAATTTATTTTTATTTTCGGATTTAATTATAATAATAATAAAGATGTTTATTCCCTTTTCATTTTACAAAAAAAGTCAATACTTAGGATGCAAGGAGAAAAATGTTCCAAAACCCACGTGGGTATTGCCGCGTAACACAAAGTATTGAAACGATGCGTTGCCATCGAAAGCACACAAAATGTCGAATCTGCATATTGAAGCACGTCCACGTCCAGAGAAAGAGAGGAGTTAAATAAGTAAAATAAAGTTTCAAAGAAATATCTCCACAAATAAGAAAGATGGCATGCCTCCACATAATTTTTACTATGTGCGAAATGTTTGCCTTTACTAGAAGCATCTGTGGTTCAAATTTCAAAGAAATATCTCCATAAATGAGAAAGTTGGCATTGCGCAGTCACTGCGCATGCCCACATAATTTTTACTATGCGCGAAATGTTTATCTTTACTAGAAGGATCTGTGGTTAAAATTTCAAAGAAATATCCCCATAAATATGAAAGTTGGCATTGCGCAGTCTGCGCAAAATATGGAGTTAAATGAAACTGATTGAAATGGGCAAATATAGACCATAACAGCTATCAATTAGCGAAAACGCGAAGTCTCTAGGTGGCCCAGGGGCCGAGATCTCGATGGAACGGACGGACCGACGAACGGACGGACGGACGGAAACACGAGCACATAAGCTTTACCTCAACTTCGTTGTGTTACGCTAAAAAATCAATTTTAATTTCATTTGCATTTCTATTATCTAACGGGAAAAAATTATGTTGACACGCAACATTACTTTGAGGCTATAAACTGATAATGGGGGAGGGTTTTCAACAACCTTATCATTTCCTCCCTAATTCTCATCCTTTTTCCTTCCCCGTTTAATAAAAGCACTAACAATTTGTCAGTTATTTATTATATTAAATTACTCTGTGCTATCAATCGGCTCATAGCAGAATTAAGACCATCGCCTTCCTTTTATTTTGTGCTTGTCTTATTCTGCCTTTTAGTCTTAGATTCCTCGACGACCAGAGGGCAGTTCTCTAATACTTGGTCCCCAGTTCCAATAGAGCAGCCCTTGGCTGAGACCCCGTCCACTCAAAAATAAAGGCAAAAATAAAAAATTAACAACAAAATAAATGAAAACCCAATGCAAATTTTGATTCTCTAAATGGGGTAGTAAGAAAATGGTCATTTCATTTAAAAAAACTGAGTTTTTAGTTTTTGAAATGTTGAATTTGGATTTGCATAGGTGCGATCATACGCATCTTTTTTTAAGTGCACTAAAGGAGAGCGTTGTTCTTTCTCTATGTACTGGTAAAAATGGGTTGCCATAACTACCACCACAACCGTTTTCAAGTAATCAATTTTGAAGGTACGGTCTGCATCCGCCATTTTTCTGTTAAAGTCAAAATAACTTAAAAAACCATAAATTGTAGATTTCGGCATGTGGGTATCAAAAGAACCGAATTTTCGCGTAGAATAGAAAACTGAAAAATAGAGGTTGCCATTTAACATAACGAAGTTACTATCTACTTCCGGTATTTCCGCAAGTGCCACCAGTTTGAAAATATTTTACATCGATTCGGCCTTCAGAGTAAGTACAAATTTTCCAAAAACCTACCTATTTAGCTTTCCCAGAAACGTTTAACTAAAGCTCCCTATCCATCCTATCCATAGTTGTAAAGCTAATCAAATTAAAATTCCTTGCTCCTTCCTTTTAGAGTAAAACTCAACCCTAGATTGCACCCAAGTCGAGCAGAATTTGTATCTACTTGTAGTAAATTATAGGATTCAGTATAGTAGATTAAAATCAATTTCTCCGATTTTTCCTTCGTTTTGTTTCATCAGGAAAATATGAGACAAATAATTAAGTAGCACCAGTTTATTTACCTGACCTTTTCATGATATCCTTTATTTCTTTTAATAAATTTATTTTTGATACGCACAAAGAAAAGGAAAAAAGGAAAAGGTCAACGTGTTTCAGTCCTCCGACACCCCGAGGGGTACCGGTTGCTCAGGGTTTTCTGACCCTCGTCAGTCAGAGAACGGGAATGTAATGATGGGTAAAATTAAGGATCGGAACGGAAGGAACAGAGTTAGGGCGATGAGCAGGAAGAGTACTGCTCCAGATTGCAACATAATGCCTAGCGAAGCTAGGTACGTCTGAGGAAAGCCCTCTGACAAAACTCCAGACAGAGTAGTCGGCAGCGAGATTCGAACTCACAACCTCCCGAATAGTAGCCTGCAACGCAACCACTGCGCCACCAACTTCGGTACGCGCAAAGAGGGAGGGGGCGGGGAGCAATGTGTCCCAGAGCATAAACCGCTTTATATATTGAAATAACCCGTTGCTAAAATTGATGACGACAAGGGGGTGTATTCCAGAAGCATTATGAAGATCGCTTTTTGCAAACGGAAATCTCCCTACTATTGTAAGTAATACCTTCCCTCGTACCTTGCAATCCGAGCCCTGAGATTTATTCAAATCAATTTAGTCGAGACTTAAATCTTGTCAGAAAGAGGACATATTGTTTACAAATAAACCGAATGTCAATTTTTTTTTATTGGAAGATCATTTCCTCAGGTCATGACTTTTTCCAATATATGTATATGTAGATATAGGATGCTAATTTTCGGATGGAAAAAAAGCTCCCTTTATTGAGCAGAAAAAATTTTTTTACCATAGAAGTTCCAGATGGGGTCCGTGGACCTCAAAATGCGATTTAAAAAAATGTCTGCGTGGTTATGTGTACCGTCTTAGCCTTCTCAGAGATTTGGAACTTTATTTACTTTTGTGAAAATCGAGATTTTGCGCGCAAATGTTCCAAAGTGCCAAATGACGTAAATTAAACCTGGTAGGCGCATACGGCTTACGGTTTTAGCATAGGTCTGGTTTAGGTATAGCTCCTGACAATGAAAATAGTAGAACATTTTAATTTTTCAGCGCAGTATATTATAAAATCAGCATATTTGATCACCTGATGTGTGGTAAGTTGCTCAATCTTTCAGCTGCCTTATCCGAATTTTTAAATCCAACAGCTTATGGTAACCATAGCTGTCCAAAATGCAGTAGACCAAAACATGATGGTATATAAGATTTCTATTTTTGCGACATCCACTTCTCAAGCTTCAAGACTCGTTCCACGAACTTGTAGCACAAAATTAGCACGAAAGAATTTCGATTGTTACCATGAAGTTGAGAAGTGTGAATTTGGATTATATTAGTTAGTCATATGCCCGGTTTCACAAACGATGATTAAGGTTAATCATTGATTAAAAATATTAAAATGTTAGCCACCTTTGATTATAAGCTTAGATACTTTTCATTCTAATATTGTTAATCGTTGATTAACCTTAATCATCGTTTGTGAAACCAGGCATTATTTTCCCAAAAAAGCAGGTTTACATTTTTAATTTAATGGTCATAAGCGAAAACGAAACGTAATTATTGTGTGTTTTTGAAACAATTCGTGTGGAAAGATTTTGAACATTTGGGATCTAAATGATTGAGGATCGTTTGAAAATATGTGCTGTTTTAGACACTAATATAACACCATAAATTTTGATTTTCGCCGTAAAAATAGAAAGCCAATTCGTATCATGGGCGAAACTTTCCTCGTCGTTCATGCTGAATATGAATACATATTTACAGCACGTTTGTGTATAATATTCAAATGAAACGTATTTTCGAAAATTGTTTCTTGTTTAATAGTCAACCGTTGTCCCGGATAAAATGAAAAGTTTAAAAGCCCTCACAAGAACTTCCGCAATAGAATGAACATTTAGAAACAAATTCGCGCAGAATTTATACCATTTAATTTGAAGTTAAAGTTAAAATCTTGGTTTTAATTTTGCTCAATTAAGAAAGTCAAATTCAATAATTAAGAGATTCCCACCCGTTTTCTTCTTATTTAACTCAATTAAATTAATCATCAGCTCATTATTTGCTGATGGATGTTCAACTTGCGTTTAGTATAATTGGCTTTACCTCGTGCTGTGCCGACTTGCAGAAAATAACCCTGTTTCTCTGTTGGACGCCGAATGAAAATATTAGCGTAATCTACAAGAATTAGTTAAAAAAGAATTAGCGAACAACAATGGACAAGAACGCATTTTTCTCTGATATATTTTTTAATAAGAGGCTTAAATTAAACATTAATCTTAATAAGAAATTATGAGAAACTTACCGGACTCATTACCGGAAGCGCGACCTGATTTTCCATCCGAGTTCCACTCTTCCTCTGAAACAAGGAAATAACTCGATGTGATTACAAAATTTCCAGAACACAATGTAATTAGTTTATTATTAACTTTTCTCAAAACGAGCGAGGCTGTTTAAACAGAAAAGTTGGGCATAAATTAGAGCAATAAACCTACTTTGAATATTTAAACTCTAATAATTTATACCTGAACATGTTTCAGAATCTGGCAGTTTATCGTCATCTTCGTCGTTATGGCAGCATTGACTACATCTCGAACACATACCACACCACAAAATTTTGACTATGTTGAAACTTTAATAAGGCTTAGAATTGTGGACCGCGTACAGTTACTAAATCTATAACGTGGAATATTAAAGTACTTGCTGTTATTTACGCAAATTAACTTCATAGCGAGGCACCATAATGGATGCTACCCTACTTTGGCATTCCTAATTGCTTGCCTAACTTTCATCATATACTACACGTGCTGTCAAAGGCTCTAAAAAATTTCAATATACCACTACCACACCATTATTACTGTTCGCCACTCTTAAGTTTATATCTCGAAATTAAATTACAAATTCATCTGGCAATGTAAAGGGTGGAATATCTTTCGTTTTTATATCGTACATTATTCTGAACTGTAATAAAATGGTTGACGAATTGTGTACTCAAATGCGTTACAACGAACACGTAGGCGCAGATATTAAACCAGAAACATGGATTAGAAGTGCGTGATTAACTTATAAATGTTGAAGTTGGCAAACAGAAACTACTTAGGGTTGGAGGAAAGGAAAGTTGCGGATTTATATACACTTTCTGCTTCCGTCAGTATTTAATAAAACGTGAAATTTAAGCTGCTGATGCGATAACCCCAAAATGATTCTGGAAAAGAGGTACTGAAAGCTCAACATACATAGATCAGAAGCTTATATTTTACTATTGATCTAGGCTCTTGGAGCTTTTCCATTAAATTCTACTTACAAAACCCACAACACTGTCGAATAAACGACTATTTCGCAGAGATGATCCCAAGTTTCATGTTAGATGCTGCCAAATTACTTCATAGCAGCATGGCGCAAGTACGGAACCACAAAGGTAGGTACCAAAACATGTGAAAAAATTCCTTCGAGCCGGATTTGAACCAGCGACCTATGGATTTCAATTTTGATTTAATCAACTACAGTCCACCGCTCTACCAACTGAGCTATCGAAGGTACAATTTACTTCAAAACAGCCTTTCACTAAAAGCGAAAAACTAGGTCATTAGGTAAACCAGTTCCATTACCAAATGCAAAACGATACACCGAAACTCGTTTCTATACGAGTGAATTAGCACAATTAACATTCTTAAACAAATTGAAACTGATAAAACGTTAACTTATTTTATATCCAATTTCGTTTTTTTACGACGATAATTAAATTCAATAACCAAGGTCTTGTGAAGCATAGTCAATTTGTCTAAAATGTCATATTTAACTCAAACCGCCCAAATACGTATTGAACGTACTGAAACGAAAAAGGAGCTTGCGAGTATAACCTACACCTAATTTACCCCATTGGGAAGGACCATGGTGTCCCAGGTGCGAATCGTTTTGATCCCATAATTTATCAATCTCCTCTCACACACCAGAATCCAATTAGGACGACTATATTATCGAAATGACAAGACTAAAACGTCATGGACCCTTCTCAGTGGAGAGAATCGACGGGACCAAGCTCCTTCATACGTTTGGGTACATTCTAAACGTATTAGGGAGGTTGTTAGTTAATGATTCACCATGTCCAAGGGCCAATTAACAACAACAATTAACAAATTGGATTTAAAATTAACTTATCAGTTTTAGCTGACCTTTCCAAATTCCAACGATCGTAGATCACAGGAAATTTGTATAATCTCGTGTTTACATTATTAAGGCTACAAAAAAATGTAATAAATTAATTCAATCGTATAAAAAAGTTGTTGTTTATCATTTTGCATTAATTACTGAGTTACCTAATGAACTAGTTCTTCGATTTTACAATAGTGAAAGGCTGTTTTTTTAACAAAATGTATACCTTCGATAGCTCAGTTGGTAGAGCGGTGGACTGTAGTTGATTCAATCAAAATTGAAATCCATAGGTCGCTGGTTCAAATCCGGCTCGAAGGAATTTTTTCCATTTTTTGGGCCATTGAGATATCAATTTTATACACTATCGCACTCACTGGTGCAGGCGTAAACCATGAAAGGAGCAGTATTTGCACTTCAGGCTTTAGGCTAAAGGAAGCCATTGACAGAAAAATTGGTGAGGCTGCTGAAGGCTTCGCCATGGATGGATCAATCATAAGATGGATCCGCGTTATGCAGAACAGAGTCATTATATCCCCAATCGGGATGACGGAGATAAGCTCATCGGTTACTAGAGGATGTCCACAGAGTGAAGTGTTGTCTCCACTGATGTTGTGTCTGGTGCTACTCTAGACGGACTCCTCGACACCCTGAACGACGACGGAGCGTAAACTCGCGATGGCTAGAAAGTTTCCAAACACCGTGAAAAAGCTCATGCAGGGGGTTCTTGAACAGACGAAGAGGTGGTGCAGTAGCCATAGCATCTCCGTTAACACGGGAAAAACCCAGTTGCTTTCATTTACGAATAGACGGAGAGCCGACATTGATTGACTCACTATTCGAGGACGTCAAGTGAGTCTGACCAGGTCAGTGAAATATTTGGGAGTCATCATATACTCCCACCTGACCTAGAAAGGGAACAGCTAATAAGAAAAAAGGTCACTGCATGTCTATGGGCATGTAGAAGGGCTTTTAACTGTACATGGGACTTTAATCCTCGACGGGTATTGGCGATAAAGCCAATAATACTGTACGGTGCACTTGAAACTATGAAAACAACGCCAACCTTGGCCATGGAGGCACTTCTGAGACTAAAGCCTCTACATTTAGCCGCGGAGTCAGAGGCTTGGAAGGTTTCCATACGGCTAAACGATTGGGGGAGTGGAAGGATCGAGCCTGCCTTGGCACGGCGGATCTGGGAGGAAACTCTTTCTCGCAAGAAGGGATGTGATCCGGGCTGTCTTACTAAGTCCGAAGAGTTATAAGGTCACTGTCCCCAACAGGGTGCAGTGCGGAAGGTTTCCATACGGCTAAACGATTGGGGGAGTGGAAGGATCGAGTCTGCCTTGGCACGGCGGATGTGGGAAGAAACTCTTTCTCGCAAGAAGGGATGTGATCCGGGCTGTCTTACTAAGTCCGAAGAGTTATAAGGTCACTGTCCCCAACAGGGTGCAGTGGGTGAACTCAACTAAAGGAAAGGGGAACGGGCTTGGGTATACCCTGAATTTATATTTATATGCAATAGTCCGATTTGCGGAGAATTTGCCTCTAATGCCCAGCTCTTATGCATATTATTAAAGGAGAAAAACGCATTCTACACCACTGGAAATGTTTTCGCGGAAAAAATGTACAAGGACGAAGGTTCGTAAAATCCGCGTCATGCATACTCTTTTATTCACTTTATTAATTGATGATACTTTTGGTTGAAATGTAGCGTGATTGGACAAAATAAAAGAGAAAAACCCTCTGACCTTCCTGGTGTGAGTATTACTGATGCTATTCAGGAAAAAGGACAGGATATATGAATGAAAATCATTCCCCCTGAGCTGTAGAAGCGACTTAGTAAGTTTCTTGAATGGTGTTTCTGACACCTGATCCTCTTGTTCGAAAATGTTGGCTAGCCGAAAGAAAGCCGCGCAAGGGGTCATCATTAAGGTCCATAGAATTAACCCTTTGTTCTTGTTTAGTTTAGAGACCATGTTTATGATTCTATTTTAATTGTAAATCATTTGTACCATGCTATGGTACTCAGTCCTAATACTGCCTTCGCTTGGTCCGGAATAAAATTGAATGTTATATTTCCACTCCTTTCCCCCTTTTTTATGCTCGAGTACAAATTATGTTAATATTTTACCTTCGTATAAAGTTTTTATGACTGTACAAGACAATGGTATCGATATATCGTCTAACTAACATTACATTACTTGCTGACGAAACAAAGTCGCTACAAAATACTTTTAAATAAAGCCTTTAAACTAAAAATCCTCAAATTACCATAAAAAACCTATGTTTTACGTTTTAATAAACCCAACACGCTCCAGTATAAATTACATAATAAACGTACCTATCTATAGTTCTATACTCTCGAAAATGGCTCATTGTGTTTAAACGAGCTGGGTTCTAGTAAAAGCTTGAATATATTCTAAATGGAAATAATATAAGTAACGTAACGTTAAATTTGCTTGGGGCACCTTGAAATTTACGCACTACACTTCTAGCTCCAGGGTTTCAATTACATCATTCCCTTAAAATTTAACATCGATCTTGAGGCGAATCCACTATCTAAGTGGTTTTAAGTGTAATTTTTCACTTTAAAATCCAGCTAAATGCGAAGCTTTTACTACTCAAATTAGTGAATTAGCGTTTTCCATTAATTAATTAATTCTAATCTTCGATCTGTGTGCGAAATTAATAATTTTGGTATTTATTGTTCCAGATACACCTAATTATTCGCATGGGTTTTTTTGTATATAAAGCAAAGCGCTTTTAATGAATTTCAACCCTTAATCCGCCCGAATACCGACGCAGATATAATACAATTCTCATGAAAATTAAATATAAGCGCCTTTAAATGAAAAATATTATCGTGTAATTTTCAAGCATCGGTAAGTGGTAGGATGGAAAAGATAAGGGGCAAGCACGAACTGTCTTTTTGAAATTTCCAATGTGACAAATCTGAAAAGTAAAAGACGGTCTATGAATTTCCCTGTAATAAAATAACAAGGACAAGTGGTCCTTTACCAGAATCTGAAATTGATATGGATTTATACCGTAACAATAACAACAATAGAGGATCTTTGGCGATCTTTTTCCTTGAAATATACGGAAGGATAATTTCTGGGTTTAAAAAAAGTCAAGCTTTCAGTAACATTCAACCAAAGAAATATTTATTATGTCAGGTTCAAGTTTCTATTTTGTTTTAAACTGTAT